GAGAGAGAGAGAGAGAGAGAGAGAGAGAGAGAGAGAGAGAGAGAGAGAGAGAGAGAGAGAGAGAGAGAGAGAGAGAGAGAGAAAGAGAGAAGGGGAAGATTCATTCCCGTTTCGCAATAGACGATGGAAACGCTCGTGCGCGCGCATGAGAGAGAGAGAGAGAGACAAACAGATACAGAGACAGAGAGAGAGGGAGGGGCGACGAGTTTGCCACGGACCCCCGACACTCTGTGCCGGTCGCCGCCCCTCTCTTTTGCTCTCTCTCTCTCTCTCTCTCTCTCTCTCTCTCTCTCTCTCTCTCTCTCTCTCTCTCTCTCTCTCTCGGGGCCCTTGCGAAGTTCGCAAGGATGTCCGGCGGTCCATGGGGGGTTTATCTCCCCGCGGAGTACCCCGGACTGAGCAGATACATGGGTCCGAGGGGGGTGTAAAAGTAGAGCCGCTGGAGGGGCCGTGTAACTGTAAACAGGGTGGGTAGAGCCGGGAGAAGGCACGATTTTGGGTGTTTTGTGAAACTTCTGCAAAGGGAATATGGTGAAGTTTTATTTTTTATTTTTTATTTTTTATTTTTTTATTTTTATTTTCTGTTTTATTTTCTGTATTTTCGGCGTAAGAAATACTTGTGCTTTTTTGTTTTTGGTCCGCATGTAGTCGCGGTTCTGAAACCGATTCATGCAGTACTTATTAAAGGCGGGAAAAGGATAGTGTGGAAGATACTGCGTAGGTAGGCTGGAGGCGTTCGATTCGAATTATTAACCGTCGGCGGGAGGGAGAAGGAGGGAACGACAGGACGTCGCAGCGGGTTGTAAGAGCTATTCCAAGTAAGCTCAGTTGGCCCGTGGAAAAGGGAGGGGAGGAGCGCAGAAAGAATCTCGGGGGAGACATCCACTCGAGGCGCTGCGGGGGATGACAGAGTCGGGACCGTATAAGGAAAGCGAATGGCGGAAGAAGAAGGGTAAGGGACGAGCATAGCCAAGTAGTGAGGAGAGAGGGGAACCGGGGCGGAAGGAGAAGGAGAACCGTAACATAGAGCTATGCTAGGAAGGATAGTGCATATACGGGGAACAGGCTGAGTCAGATCCATATACGGGGAATACAGGCTGAAGTGGAAAAGATTTGGGGGGTTAATCGACTTGCGAGCGGGGAACGGATCATTCGGTTTGTCGAAGACGAGATACTGGAGGAAGGATCGACAGATAGTATGATTCGTATGATGATACGACTCAGATCAGCACGGGCAGGAGGGAAGGTATGAGGGAGGAGGAAGAATAGGTGGGGTCGGAAGACATTACAAAAAAGGAAAAGAAAAAAAAAAAGCGGGAACGTATTATGTCTGATTAATGTAGATGGGGCGGATCTGTAATCTGGAAGGTTAGCGAAGAGAAGGGAAAAAGTTGGAACAACAGGGGGAAGTGTTCGAGCAGGCACGTAGGTAGGATGCGGTAGAGAGAGGATATAAGGAAGGGAGGAAGGGCTTACCTGGTATCCCGAGTCGTGAGTGTTTTTTATGAGTTAAGAGGGGAGCCTCCTGATGAGCGCGTTGTATACGCCAGCGGCGAAACGCGTAGAGGCACATGCGTATTTTTGTGTTGTAATGAGCTATTATCGATCATATTGATTCGGGGATATCAGTGTATTGGAGCTGCGGGGGGGCTTGCTTTTGTACTCGCTCTCTATTCTCTTTGAATGTGGTAACCGAACATGGTGGACATATCGCGGTGGCTACGATTTTTCAGCGATGTTGTGACTGGGGACCTTGGAGCGTGATCGTCTTCGGGGACCTGGGATTCGTCTACTTGGAGCAACGACGAACGTGCGCGATTATTGGAGACTTGTGAGCGTGATCGTCTGCAGGGGCATACTTTGTCGACTTTAGGCAGTGACGAAGGTGTGGCATCATCGAGTTCGAGTAAACGACGAAGGTGCGTGATCGTCACCCCGCGTTTGAGGTCCGTGAGAGTCGGGCCGGCATGGTAAAGTGGGGGTGGGCAACGATTAAAAAAGCAGCCATACGGGGCATTATTATTTGTGTAATTGGTATAAGTGGGGTTTCAACCTTCCGTGGGTGTGGAGGAAGAAGGAGTGGGAGAGTGTGCAGTCTCAAGGTGCGCATCTCGTTTACATATAGTAGTGACTAGGGGGATGACTGACCGAAATTTTAGGGAAGAGGAATTTGATAGGCTTTGGCAGGACGTTGAGAATCTAGTGTACGATAGGGTAACTCCTATGATCTTTGTTGCATTAGAATTTCGGAGCGAGAGTACGAAGGAGGAACTAATTAGCGTGATTGAGAGGTTTTTGGGAAGACTATACAGCATGGGGTGTGTAGTGAGAGATAGGAGGAGGAGGAGGAGGAGGCAGTGGAGAAGGGATACACGTAGGGCGGTATGATGCAGAATCCGGGGGTGCCAATGATGACGGGAGTTGGGAACGGTATGCCGGTAGCAGGCGGGAATCAAGCAGGGGTTGTTTCATGTTATCTATGCGGAAAAATCGGGCACTATGCCAGAAATTGCTGGAGCGCGGGGAATGGGAGACAAACTGTACCGCAACCATTTGCCCAAGCGGGTGTGGTAGATGAGGAAACGAAGGAGATGCGGGAGTATTTTCGTGAAAAAATCAAAAAGAGGAAACTCGAGGAGGAGAGGAGGGAACGGGAAGAGGAGATGAGACGGCGGAAAGAGGAGGACAACCGGAAGGAGCAGGAGAGGATGAGGGAAGCGGACGCCCGGGAAGCTAGACTAGAAGCGCGACTAATTAGACTCTTGGCCCAGCATACTAAGAGCAGTGCCCAGCCAAAGAGTTCGGGAGTAAAGAAGAAGTCCCCCAGGACGAAGGCAAGGGTCTTACGCGAAATTCGGAGCTACTTAGATGAATCTGAAGACGAAAGTGAGGAAGTGAGAGAGGAAGCGGGCAAACTGGTTGAAGCGATTGAAAAGAGAAAAGGGGAAAAGAGGGTGAATGAAGAAGATGGAAGGTTGTTGAGGATTAGGAGGGGAAACTGGGGGGACCCGGTTAGGATCGACGAAGAGGAGGAAGAAGTACGAACTCCTCCACGTGTGAGGGATGATGACCCGGGTATTTTGGACTTTGCGATAGAACTGCACAAGCATCTGTCAGAGAAAAAAGTGCCGGAGTTACGAAAGTTGTGCAATCGGGAGGGAATCGAATGGTCCAAAAGGGACACTGCAATCGGCGAATTAGTGAAGTGCAAGGCAAAACTGGCATATGGGGAATTTGCAGAAAGCGGATGGATCTCACCTTTGTTTGAAAAGTACACGAGGTAAGTATGGATCGGTTGGAGGTTTTGATGTCGAGCCGGAGGGAAATGACAATTGAAGGGAGAGGGAGATTAAGTGCTCAGAAAGAGGATAAGATTTTTCGATTATTCCTTCGTTGTGTAATTGATGGTAATTGTCCTTGGGCAAGAAAATGGGTGGGGATGGTAAGTGGAAATGAGAAAGATCTGTCGACCTCGAATCCTGGGGTTTACGTTCTAGCTAGCCCATGGTGTCGTCACTTCTATATTGGATGCACATCACGGGCAGTCATCACTAGGTGGTCGGATCACATGAGTCAGGTGTTGCATGGGGAGATTGGGAATGCACCTAAGCTTCATGCCTGGTTGCGGATCTTTGGTTGGAAGAAGTATCTAGCGATTCCCTTGGTAGAAGGCGTGAGGGATCTGTTCGTGGTAGAAGTTAGCCTGATCAAGAAATTATCCCCGTCGTTGAATACGCAATGGGTTCGGTTTGCAAAATAATACGAGTCCCCAAAAAGTCAAATGCATTTCCCCCCCCATCCTTCCGAACGAGTTTCAGATTGTCATCATAGCATTGCTAAAAAACATCCAAAATCCGGATCGCCTTTCGGAATGTCTCAGGTCTGTCTGATGCGCATCCCACCATCACGGCCACATCATCTATCATCCTCATTCCTCTTATCGCCACTTCCTCCCCCACTGCCCTCTTCATAAAAGCCGATTCGGCCATAGCACATACCAGACAGGCCAATGCAGGGCTGTAATTCCTTCCCATGGGAATTCCAAACCTTTGTACCATTATGCTTCCTGCGCATCGCACGAACGAATGTGACAACTCGAATGCCACCTCCCTTTTAATATCTTCGAATTTCATGACCACAAATCCATCTTCCTTCCGTACTTTCCTCACCATCGCACATAGTTTCCCCCTCATACTCACGCGCACTCCTTTCAAACCCTTCCTCTCGTGATAGCTTATGACCCAATCGACTGCTTCCATCACCTTTTCATGCGACAAACGCGCGAACATATCTTTAATATGATAACTCCTGGCAATAGCCACGTCCCCCCTCGCCCTAAACTCCCTCTGGATTCCTCGACACCGTTCTCCCAACTCATCCATAGACTTTAGATCAAAATGCTCAGCCCTTCGTAAACCAAAAAGCATATACCTTACTGCTCTTCCTACTCTTGCAGCTGCCACTCTTGCTGGATCCGTTGTACACGGTGAGATTGGTCTCCATCTATCCAAGTCCTTGTCTTTGGGTAGTACATAAGCTTGGCTGATCTTCCCTCCCGTCTGCCACCTTGCAATTCGGTTCAGACCACCTTCTACATAATCTTCCTTCATCTTGGTACGCACCTGATCTTCGGACCGCTGCACCACACGGAAGCTATGATTCCGATTGAATGTTTCAAGATATGCGCGATGGTACAGCACCGGACATAATAGCAGAGTGGCCCCTGGGTTCCGATCGATGGGTACCTCTATCAGCTTGCTATATTTTCGAAAACAGTTCCTCACTTCGTTCGTCGTCATTGCCAAATTGTTTACATCATCCCTCCCTCCATAGCAGAGATCAATGTCTCGGTGGAGTATCATGTCTTTCCTTCCCTTCACCCATCCATCCACCCCTTCACGGATGCAGGACTCCAAAGCTTCTGGTCTAATTATGCTTCCAGGTGTCACGTTCTTTGAATTTCGTAGGAATCCTGGTACGTTCTCCACTTCACACAATCTAACCTTCACATGTCCTTCACTCCTCCCCATGTGATGTCCTCTACACGTACACTCGGCCCTCACCCCCTCCGCACATTTCCAATGATTGTGTATCACCATCCCCACATTTGGCGCCTTCTTCACCACGACTCTTATCCTTCCCGCCACGAACCATGCAATGTCCGGATCCGCCACCCCCTGTAGTATCAAACCAGCCGCGACTTCCCGGACTACCCCCAACTTCACTGCAGGTGAAAACGGAACTTTAACACATGGTCTTCTTCTTATTTCTGCACCGTACTTGCTTCTCACGATCCGTGTAATGATGTTTTTGATCCAATTCCTACTCATCTTCTCGGCAAACCGTGATCCAGAGCGGTACAACACAATGAGTTCTCTGGATCCCTTCTTGTAAAGACTGCGTATTCTCCATGGTTGACGGAGGACATCTCTCAGCACGTAATATCCTTTCAAAACCCGTTTGCAGTTCTTTATAGGATTCCTACTCATTTGCTCGATACCTGATGGTAATATCCTTACCTTCTCCACCCGAAAAGTCCCTCCTCCTTCCAAAACCCGTTTGCAGTTCTTTATAGGAGTTTTCCCACCCTCCACATACAACGTGGTTTCTCCCGCCTTTTTACGTACTACCTTCCATTTATCAATCCAGATGTTCCCACCTGATGAAGTTATCCACTGATTACATTCTCTCCCCACCATCTCTTTCAACAGATCGATGAGTGACACCATATCATTGAATCTAATTATTATTCCTCCTGGTGCGTTCGATCTCCTTTTACCCCTTTCTATCTTTCCTTTCCTCCTTTTCGCTTCCCCTAGAACTAGGAATCAGATGTCTCTGCTCGATGATGGGACGTTGAGAGTACAATCGATGCAGGATATGCCTCGTTCACAAGGAAAGCAGCCAAGAAGGCGGTGGTGTACGCAGCTCTCGTCCGGATGAATCGAATCTCCAGTTCGGTTGAAGCGATGAAAGCTGCGATCGCAGCGCTGATGTGGGAAACTCGCCTCCGGGGGTATCCCCCGGAGGTCTCTCTCGGGGCCCTTGCGAAGTTCGCAAGGATGTCCGGCGGTCCGTGGGGGGTTTATCTCCCCGTGGAGTACCCCGGACTGAGCACATACATGGGTCCGAGGGGGGTGTAAAAGTAGAGCCGCTGGAGGGGCCGTGTAACTGTAAACAGGGTGGGTAGAGCTGGGAGAAGGCACGATTTTGGGTGTTTTGTGAAACTTCTGCGAAGGGAATATGGTGAAGTTTTATTTTTTATTTTTTATTTTTTATTTTTTTATTTTTATTTTCTGTTTTATTTTCTGTATTTTTGGCGTAAGAAATACTTGTGCTTTTTTGTTTTTGGGCGTTTGTCGCATGAAAAGGTGATGGAAGCAGTCGATTGGGTCATAAGCTATCACGAGAGGAAGGGTTTGAAAGGACTGTGCGTGAGTATGAGGGGAAAACTATGTGCGATGGTGAGGAAAGTACGGAAGGAAGATGAATTTGTGGTCATGAAATTCGAAGATATTAAAAGGGAGGTGGCATTCGAGTTGTCACATTCGTTCGTGCGATGCGCAGGAAGCATAATGGTACAAAGGTTTGGAATTCCCATGGGAAGGAATTACAGCCCTGCATTGGCCTGTCTGGTATGTGCTATGGCCGAATCGGCTTTTATGAAGAGGGCAGTGGGGGAGGAAGTGGCGATAAGAGGAATGAGGATGATAAATGATGTGGCCGTGATGGTGGGATGCGCATCAGACACACCTGAGACATTCCGAAAGGCGATCCGGATTTTGGATGTTTTTTAGCAATGCTATGATGACAATTTGAAACTCGTTCGGAAGGATGGGGGGGAAAATGCATTTGACTTTTTGGGGACTCGTATTATTGTGGAAACCGAACCCATAAGTATCAGTGCTTCCCCCAGAACCAGGAATCAGATGTCTCTGCTCGATGATGGGACGTTGAGAGTACAATCGATGCAGGATTATGCCTCGTTCACAAGGAAAGCAGCCAAGAAGGCGGTGGTGTACGCAACTCTCGTCCGGATGAATCGAATCTCCAGTTCGGTTGAAGCGATGAAAGCTGCGATCGCAGCGCTGATGTGGGAAACTTGCCTCCGGGAGTATCCCCCGGATGTCTCTCTCGGGGCCCTTGCGAAGTTCGCAAGGATGTCCGGCGGTCCGTGGGGGGTTTATCTCCCCGCGGAGTACCCCGGACTGAGCAGATACATGAGTCCGAGGGGGGTGTAAAAGTAGAGCCGCTGGAGGGGCCGTATAACTGTAAACAGGGTGGGTAGAGCTGGGAGAAGGCACGATTTTGGGTGTTTTGTGAAACTTCTGCGAAGGGAATATGGTGAAGTTTTATTTTTCATTTTTTCTTTTTTCTTTTTTTATTTTTTTATTTTTATTTTTTGTTTTATTTTCTGTATTTTCGGCGTAAGAAATACTTGTGCTTTTTTGTTTTTGGTCCGCATGTAGTCGTGGTTCTGGAACTGATTCATGCAGTACTTATTAAAGGCGGGAAAAGGATAGTGTGGAAGATACTGCGTAGGTAGGCCGGAGGCATTCGGTTCGAATTATTAACGGCCGGCGGGAGGGCGAAGAAGGAAACGACAGGACGTCGCAGCGGGTTGTAAGAGCTACTCCAAGTAAGCTCAGTTGGCCCGTGGAAAAGGGAGGGGAGGAGCGCAGAAAGAATCTCGGGGGAGACATCCACTCGAGGCGCTGCGGGGGATGACAGAGTCGGGACCGTATAAGGAAAGCGAATGGCGGAAGAAGAAGGGTAAGGGACAAGCATAGCCAAGGGCGGAAAGAAAAGGAGAACCGTAACATAGAGCTATTCAAGGAAGGATAGTGCATATACGGGGAACAGGTTGAGTCAGATCCATATACGGGGAATACAGGCTGAAGTGGAAAAGATTTGGGGGGTTAATCGACTTGCGAGCGGGGAACGGATCATTCGGTTTGTCGAAGACGAGAATTTGGAGGAAGGATCGACAGATAGTATGATTCGTATGATGATACGACTCAGATCAGCACGGGCAGGAGGGAAGGTAGGAGGGAGGAGGAAGAATAGGTGGGGCCGGAAGACATTACAAAAAAGGAAAAGAAAGAAAAAAAGCGGGAACGTATTATGTCGGATTAATGTAGATGGGCGGATCTGTAATCTGGAAGGTTAGCGAAGAGAAGGGAAAAAGTAGGAATAACAGGGGGAAGTGTTCGAGCAGGCACGTAGGTAGGATGCGCGCGTAGAGAGAGGATATAAGGAAGGGAGGAAGGGCTTACCTGGTATCCCGAGTCGTGAGTGTTTTTTGTGAGTTAAGAGGGGAGCCTCCTGATGAGCGCGCTGTATACACCAGCGGCGAAACGCGTAGAGGCACATGCGTATTTTTGTGTTGTAATGAGCTATTATCGATCGTATTGATTCGGGGATATCAGTGTATTGGAGCGGTGGGGGGGCTTGCTTTTGTACTCGCTCTCTTATCTCTATTCTCTCTCTCTTTTTTTTTCCCAAAGTGGAAAATGGGGAAACGAGAATGAATATTCCGATTCTTCCAGCTTTCGCTAGGAGTTTTTTTTCTCTCTCTCTCTTTCCCTCTCTCTCTCTCTTTCTCTCTCTCTCTCTCTCTCTCTCTCTCTCTCTCTCTCTCTCTCTCTCTCTTTTCCAAAGTGAAAAATGGGGAAACAGGAATGAATATTCCGATTCTTCCAGCTTTCGCCGGGAGTTCTCTCTCTCTCTCTCTCTCTCTCTCTCTCTCTCTCTCTCTTTTCCAAAGTGAAAAATGGGGAAACGGGAATGAATATTCTGATTCTTCCAGCTTTCGCCGGGAGTTATCTCTCTCTCTCTCTCTCT